CTCTCTCTTCCTCCTCCTCCTCTTCTTCTTCTTCTTCTTCTTCTTCTTGTACGTCCTCCCTCTGTCTCTCTCTTCTCATCCTCTTCAGAAAACCCGTATACACTCGTACCCTCGAACTCGATTACTATGACGCGTATTAATCAAAGATAATTTTCCTCTCAATTTCTGATATATATATATATATATTTGTGTGTATGTATGTATGTATGTATGTATGATACATATATATGTATATATATCGTAAATAGACTTTTTAAGAGAAAAAAAAACGAGAGGACAGCTATTAACGAATGCGCTTTACCATGCACACGTGTGTTCCCGTTCCCTCTCTCTCTCTCTCTCTCTCACTCTCTCTCTCTCTCTCTCTCTCTCTCTCTCTCTCTTAAGAGAGAGAAACGCCGGAATCTCTCCGCCTGCGGAGCGAGAGAGACGAGGAGATGCTCGCGGCTCCGCGGTTCGCGCGCGACTGACCGAGGGCGAGAGTCGTTATTGGGAGCAGAGCGCGTTCGCCCTCTCTCTCTCTCTCTTTCTCTCTCTCGCTCACTCGCTCACTCCTTCTCCATTACTCGACTCTCTCTCTCTCTCTCTCTCTCTCTCACTCTCTCTCACTCACTCACTCTGTCACTCTCATACACACTCACTCTCGACTCCCGCCGCCGACCGCTCGGCGGAGCAGGCGCGAAACGAACGAAACCGAAACTCAAACTCGGCTTTCGCCTCCTCCGTCTTCGCTTTTCTCTTTCTCTCTTTCTCTTTCTCTTTCGTAGGGAGAACGTCGCGCGCGCGCGCGCGCTCACGTTCTCGAAGGCCCTCTCCCCTTCAACCTCCTCCGAAACTGGTCGGAGATGCTCCACTCTGCTCTCACTCGTTTCGGCACTGTAATCGACTGCCCGTACTCCTTCTCACCCTCTTTCTTTCTTTCTTTCTTTCTTTCTTTATTTCTCTTTCTTTCTTTCTTTCTTTCTCTTTCCTCTTTCCTTCTTTTTTCCCTTTCTTTCTTCCCTGGTTTACCCTTCCACGCGACACAAAAGGGCCATCTCTAAGAGCCTCGTCCTTCTAACCGACCGATTTTCTCCACTAGTATTCTCTAATACTCACTTTTGTTCTATATTTTTTTTTTCTTCGTTTTTTTCTTTTTTACTTTTCTTCGTTTTTTCTTCCTCTTCTTCTTCTCCTTCTTCTTCTTCTTCTTCTTTCTTTTCTCTCTTTATGTCTTCGTTTTTCCACGATCAAACGCGTTTGATCTCAAGGGAATTTTACATGTATTTCTTTATGATGATAATAATTCGATCGGTTAAGATCGGTTAAGATCGGTATTAATCGATGATAATCACGCGATATGTTAGATTATAATCATCTTCTTGAAAAAATTACGTTGAGATATATGAAAATGTGTTTGTCCGTTGAATGCATGCTTTTAAATAAATATACGCATACGTATACATGTATTTAAAGGTTAAAAGTATATGTAATTTATATTATGAGAGAAAATTGTTAGAAAAACGAATGGACAAATACCTTCGATGTAAAATATTCGAAATCGAAAGTATCTTCCCGCGCTCGAATCAAGAGGTCGCGCTCGATCTCTCGAATGCCGCGAGAATTCAATTTTCGTAATCGTCAATATTGTCCTTTGCGGTGTAAAACGTCTCTATGTCTGTCTCTCTTCAACCGCAGGAAACATCTTTCTTCTCGAAAACTCGACGTTACTTCGTTGTCGTCGTCGTCGTCGTCGTCGTCGTCGTCGTCAATGTCGTCGTCATTGTCGTCGTTGTCTTCGTTGTCGAGATTTCCGCTTTGGAAGACGAAACATGCCAATTAATTTCTCGCGGTTTTCTCGAAATAGTGCTTAAAAAAAAAAAAAAAAAAAAAAAAAAAGAAAGAAAGAAAAAGAAAGAAAATAATAAATAAATAAAAAGTACAGGCCAAAAAAAAAATATATGTACGAGTAATTAATGATGTAGTAAAAAAAAATCCTTGAAAATCTATACGATCCATGCCGTTTGTCGTTTTAACGTCGAAAAATAAAAGTAGGAAAGCAGTACATAGGTATTCGTAAAAATCGGATATCTCGATCTAGACAAAAAAGAAAAAGGAAAAAAAAAATAATAAATACACGAGTTCCCATGCGTGTGTACAGGCAGTTAACAAGCTGTGAACATTTAACAATTATACCGAGTTTGACATACGATAAAGAGAGTCTCACGTATCACGATCTATGTACACGTATACATACATATGTATACATATTTTAGAAGGTTGACGCTGTGACGAGAGAGATACTCGAACGATTACGTCTCTCTAGGTGATCGATAAGTGCCGTAGAGATCGTATACTAACCGTAATCCCGTCATGCTTGTACTTTCATCGATGTCGACGGAACTACAACTTTCACGATTACTTCAGACTCCGTGCGTTCCGTCGTGTACCCACTTAAGAACGTTGCCACGAATAGAAATCTTATTAAAACCCGATTCGATCTCCTACGATATAGTATTGATCTTATATGATGGATCAAAACTTGGACATTTATTTGATCATTTTCAGAATTTATTGATGCATCAATGTCATGTATCATAAATATACATTTATTCATGTATATATATATATATATATATATATATATATGTATGTATGTATAATAATATTAGTAATCTATACTAATGTATTGCTATATATAAAAAAAAAAATCTCTCATTGAGAATTTTACTCATTGATTAAAATTTCACGAATGTTTCGTTCAAGTGAAAGGACAGCTCCCAGAAAAAAAAAAAAAAAAAAGAAGTAAAATCAATTTCGTCAGAATTGACTGTCATGATTTATGAATGTATCACAATGTCGCACGCGTATATAATACATATATATATATACATACACACACACATATATACAACGTATTGATATATAATAATATTTGTTATGTATATACTAACGTTTTAATTTTTCCCTCTCTGTTAAAAAAGCAAAATAAAATAAAATGCAATTAACTCATTGATACGAATTTCATGAATGGTTCGATAAAATCTATAAACAAAAATAAATAAATAAATGAATGGAAATAAATTTCGTTCGGATTGAATAATATCCGATACGTGATCTACATTGCTCCAAGGTATTGTATTATTTGAAGGGTGAAAAAAGAAATATATATATATATATATATATATATATATATATATAAAAGAAAAAATTAGAAAAGGAATTAGCTCATTGATAAAAATTTCGCGAAAGTTGCGATCAAGCGGACACGAACGACACACGGTGAAAATAAAGAAGAAGAAGAAGAAAAAAATAAGGAAAAAAAAAAAGGAAAAAAAAAGGAAAAAAAAAAAAGAAGAAATAAAAAGGAGGTAATAAAGAAAGACCGAACGGAAAGTGTTTCGCGTAAACGTTTTCGCGATTCTATTATTATTCGTTTCTCGTCGTGTCGTCGCGATACATAGGTATATGTACGTACATATGTACGACATCTACGCATACATATACACAGGTAGGTACATCCTGAAACGCGTATCACCGACGACGTGCTTGCGTTACGGGAAGCGAGGGATGAAGAAGAGTAGGAGAAGATTGAGGAGAGGGACTGGAAGAGGGAGAGTGAGAGGTAGAGGAGAAAAGAGAAGGAAGGAGTAGAGAGAGAGAAATAGAAAAAGAGAGAGAGAGAGAGAGAGAGAGAGAGGAGGAGGTGGAGAAGGTGGAGGTGGAGGAGGAAGAGGAAGAAGAGAGGACGTAATAGGACGTATACTACGCGGTTGGTCTCGCCAACGAAGAGCAAGCAGACTCGAAGACGAAGACGATCGAGGAGTCAAAGGTACCGTTAGACGAACACCGTCGTCAGAATCTTCTATTGGCCGACGAACGGAACCCCATGAATTAAAATCCATACTTTAATGATTCTAATCGGCGGATTAGAGAAAAAAAAGAAGAGAGAGAGAAAGAGAGAGAGAGAGAAATAATTAATACTTTTTATACAGAAAAATGTTTTAAATATAATTTCTAACGATTTTCTAACGAACTTAATTCATTTCTTTTTCTTTTTTTTTTTCTTCTTTTTTTTTTGCGCATGGAATAATGATCTATCTGTTGACTATTACGAACGGAATCCTCTGAATTAAAATCCATACTTTGACGATTCTAATCGGCGAATTAGAGGAAAAAAAGGGAGAGGGAAAAATAATTGATCTTTTATACAAAAAAAAAAAAAAAGAAATTGTTGAAATATAATTTCTAACGATTTTCTAACGAACTTGATTTATTTCTTTTCCTTTTTTTTTTTTTTTTTCTTTTTGCACATAGAATAACGATCCATCTATTGATTATTACGAATGTAACACGGTGAGTGTAAAAATGAAATCATATTTTTTATATACAAAGATCATGAACGAAAAATTTTTTTAAAAAGATTTTCCTCAACATTCGATTTAATAAAAAAATTCGACCATTTTTAAATTCCATTGATGGGATAAAAATCGAATAATCAGAATAATCAGTTCGTGTTTTGCATAAAAATTTTACACAAAATTGTAACAATTTTCTAACGAGTTCGATTACATTCCTAGTACTTGGAATATTTCAATTATTTTCCTTACTACTATTCCAGAATTCATTGTCATCGAGATAGACCATAAAACTAGTTAGAATTCGTGAAAAAAAAAGAAAAAGAAAAAAAAAATAAATAAATAAATGGAGATGAGACGGGGGAAAAAAAAGAAGTCGAGACAGATTATAGACGAGTAGTAAAATTGATTTATCTATACGGAAGTCATAGGATCAATCGATGAAAGGCGAGGCTTTCGAGATACGAAATAGTTTCACGTTTTGGCATCGTACGAGATCACGTATAACGTTGTACGCGTAGTAAGTTAAATACTGTTTCGTGTCTGGCGAAATCGATGAATCGATAATATCGTAAAACATTTTCCCTCTTCCTTATTCCGTCGATACGATTATACCGACATTTCTCTTTTTTCCCCCTCCCTTTCCCCACCCCCTTCCCTCACCTCCTCATCCCCCCAATTTCTATCCGTATATTTTATAAAGTCAATAACTCGTAAAGATCGTGAACAATAAAATGAAGAATCTTTCATAATTATTAAAAGAATAAAAGGATCAAATGAGAAATTTAAGAAAACAAAATTTCTGCCCTTTCCTTTTCTATTTTTCTTTCCATATATAATAATTAAATATCTAAACGTAAGGTAAAAAAAAAAAATACACGGAACTCATTCCAGTTTATATCGCATTATGACTCTACGAACTATACAATATATCTACGTATTTACGTATATCGTATATGTATACTAATTGTACACACATAGTTAATCGTTTCAAAGTCGATGTCAATATCCGCGAAGGTGTTCCGTGACGTTCTATTATTTCTATTTCAACTTTTTTTTTTTCTCCTTTTCTTTTTCTTCCTCTTTCTTTTTAATCTTTTCTTTTCTTTTTTTTTCTTTTTATCTGTTTTCCTTTTTTCTTTAATTTCTTTTATTCTCTCCTTTTCTTTCTTCATTCTCCTTTCTTTTTTCTTTCATGAACCGCAACGTAGCACTTGTTCCAGCAGTTAGAATCGTAACATTATCATAAATGAAAGGATCTCGGTGCTCGGTTCTATGGCGAATGTAGATTGACCTTCGGCAGGGCAATCCGACCTTGGACACCCCGCATAGGAATCAATAGAGCGACGGTAAGGATAGTCGCGTTCTCTCATAAGTGAAAGGATAACGAGGTCTATCCGTGTCTCTCGGTAACTCTCTCAGCTCGTAATCTTTGAAACGGGACACGGGATACTGTCAACATCCAAAGGGATGAAATCATCATCTATCATATTTACGCTATACTGAATTAAGCAAAAACAAAAGAAAAAGAAAAAAGAAAAGAAAAAAGAAAGAACTTTCATTTTTTAATACGCAAAAATTTTGGTCATAAATTGAAATAATATTTTAAAGAACCTATTGATTTTGTACATTATAATTGCATATGTAAAATTTGATTTTTACATGCAATAAATTTGATCATTTAAATATTATAATATTACGTGGAATATATAAATAAAGTACAAAAGGTATATAGGACCAGCTTTTTTTGTTTTTCATTCTTTTTTTTTTTAATAGTAATACACACCTATATATTACTATTATAATTTGCTATTTTTGTAACAATTTATGCTGCATAT